AAAAAAAATGTGTTTTTACTTAAAAAACTGCAATTTGCTTTTACTTTTTATTTCATATTTTTTTATTTTTTTGTTTTTTGTTTTGTGTAATAATGTAAGTATGCATGTAAGTATGTTGGTTTGTGTCACCTACCATCCGGCGCGAACTTGAACGACTGTTCGAATGTTCCTCGGCAGACGCTGTCGCCGTCCGACTCGGCATGTTATACGAAAAGCCCTTATAGAAATCCGCGCTTGACTCTGCGGCCACTGCAATAATTATGAATTTATTATGAGAAGACAAAAAATTAGTTTTGCATTTTTTCCAATAGTTTTTCTTTCTTTCTTTTTTCTTTCTTTATTATTATTCATACGCAAACTACATGAACACAATTAAATTGAGCGTATGTAGCGAAGCAAGGCAAAAACCTAAATTGCTAATGCCTTTCTAAGTAAAGCGTGCATTAATTACTTCTAATTTCCATTACGCATTCGGCAATTACAAAACTAAATACTCAATTGCAATGTTATTGTTGGAATTGAAAATAGTTTGTTTTTAGTTTGCTTTTTCGAAACGGATTTCATCAACAAAGGAAGCGAGAACGTTTACATAACAACGGCAAGGGATGTATGTATGTACATATGTAAGTATGTACAGCGGCAATGATGGTGTTGGTGAATGGCGTTAAAGGCAAAAGCGGAGGCGGATTTCTATAAGGTTCATWTGAATTTGCATTTTTTTTTTTTKRTTTWTTTWKTTWWTWYTTTKTTAATACTTTTTCTTTTATCAAGAAGCTTAAATCACTTCCGTTAGAATAGAGTAAGGATATTTGCTAAATTCTGTGTCGCAAAATACAATGTTTTTGTAAGTACTGTTCAAGTGTTTAATATGTAGTTTGTATATATGTACTTTGCAACAATTTTTATTGCTCAATATTTTTGCTTTGTTTAATATGTGTAATGACTGAGTAAAGTGTAAAGAGTATAACGGTGTACACTTGTTACACTTTAATTGCTATTTTTTTTTTTTTTCTTTAAAGTTTTCATTAAAGTTTACCAATCGTCTAGGCTGTTTTATTAAGGGGCGATTCATGCCGTTCGTTTTATTATAAAGACCGCACGCATTGCACAAATAATGTCCGGTATTATCACGGCGCCACAATGGAGTTGAAACCGCACCACAATTGACACATTCTCGCCCGTCGGTGATAAAATCGGCATCGTAAAATGCTTTAATAAATTTAGATGTTAATTTAAAATTTATATAAATTATTTATTAGTTGAATGCATTTCAAACAATTTTGCTTGGTATTAGTAAACAAATTTTGATTACCATCGATCTTATGCTATGTTTAGTATATGAATTATTATTGAAAATATGAATTTTTTCAGTATGTTTAAAATTGTACGCTGAAGAAATTATATTAAGCTTGCTATGAAATTTGARGCACTCAGGAGAAACACTGGATACCCTAWAAAATATGTACATAAGTAAATGATGCCTGTCTCTATATACGCGAGCAACTCCCTCAATTCTTGAAATATCGTTGCAAAATTCTGCAAACATCCTTTTCTTCCCAAGAAGCTACTTATATGAAGGAATCGCTGATATCGAATCGCAAAAGCATATAACTGTCATACAAACTGACCGATAGAAATCAAATTTTTTGCATGGAAAACTTTTTTATTTCAAAATATATCTTGACGAAATTCGACACGAATTGTTATCGAAAGCAATGCCATCATATTTCAATGAATTGCAAAGTTTGGAACACTAAATCATATAGCTGCCATACAAACATAAACATACAAAATGAAGTGCTTGTATGAAAAATTTTTTATTTGAAAAGATATGTGAACGAAATTTGACATGGATTAGTTATTATCAAATTTAAAAAAAAATATATATATATTCAAAAATTTTAGTTATGTACGTACATACACGCATATGTAAATATGTATGTATGTACATAATCAAATACGCACGCATATGCTTTGTTGCTGCCCAATTTGCGGTGAAAATCACACCACTATTGGAATTTCCAACAGCTTCCCCAATTTGTTTTAAGTTTGTGTGTATGTTTAAACATRTTTACACACTTATGCACACTAGCATGCAGAGCAAAAAGGCCACAAACGCATAACACATTAAACAGTGCTTGGAAGCATACACATTTGGGTAAATATAGCAAGTGCATACGAATAAATACATATTTACATATGACGTATGTTTAAATGTCTGGATGTACATAATATGTAGGCAGCTATCATAATACTTGGCATACAGCGACCTAACTAAACTGCATAGAACGAACGGAGCATCTAACTAACACATTTACCAAAAATTTTAAGGTACACATACATACATATGTGTACAAATGGAAGCAGGGTTGCAAATAATACATTAAGACGACAGTCGAATTAATATTAAAATTAATTTAATTTTTAATGAAATCCCGAAAATTGTTATTAAAAATAATGTTAAAAAATTTCTATTCCAAAAATACTGGATTGAAAAATGTTAAATAAATATTTAAGTCC